TAATTTCAAGCCCGGCTTTGCCCTCTGACCTGGGTCAAAGTTGAGTATATGCGAGTCTGTGTGGGTCTCCTTTTCTGTTTTTTTTTTGCTATTCCCCATGTCGCGTGTTTCATTAGAGGCGACAAACAAACACAGCCAGTCCGCAGATTTCCAGCAATGATCAGCCCGCAGACCTCGCAGTCGCAGTCTTACAGAGAGAAAAAACTGAGGAAAACCATCTTAAAACTTGCTATTAAGTTCGAAAATATCCAAAAATATCTATATGGACAGGCTTATCCCTGATAATCTCAACTAATTGATATCTTTGGTAGCTAATTTTAACTCCAAACTTGATCTTTCTTCCTGTGTAGCACATAGCACACAGCATATTGTGACCTCAAAAATAACGAACGTGCGGTAAAAGCGTCGCCAACCTCAGAGAGCTCTAACCTGGCCAAAAGCCAAAACACACACTCACACACACTCTTTGGGCCAAGAGTCTTGGTCCAGTCAGCTAGAGTAGCAGCATCACAGGCAGCAGACTGCCTCCTCCTCCTAGTTGCTATTTCTTCTGCCTCTTTTTTTGCGACGTGCCACACCTGTTTCATGTAGTGAAGCTCTTCTCTGCCTAAGAACCAGCCATCCAGACATGCACTGCTAGAAATTTGTACAGCAAAGTGAAGATATGAGCTTAAAGGATCTCCTTTCTTAAAAGTGTGATTTGGTGGGGAAATCTCTATAAAAAGTCATGGAAAGGAAAACATATTATTAAGTTCAATATTCATTAGTTTCTTCCTCTAAGTCCCATTTTTTCCAGTGCCGCCATCGCTTTGTGAGAATTTTTGTTGTTTTCTAAGGGGGGGGACTTTGTGGGCAACAATTTTTCGGTCTCTAAACTGACCTTAGCCAGAGATCTGGCTCTGGGAGCTGGCAAACGCATTTCTGATAATGATGGACTGTATTAACCGTTAGCCAAAGTTGAGGCCAGGCAGCTTCGGGCCGGGCCTTTACCTCACCTCCATGCATGTGGCCACAACAAGCTCCGGCAATCAGTGGACATTTTAAGATTTTCCAACTTCGGTGGTGGGAAATTGCTGGTCAGATTTTCGCCGAAAATACAAAAAAAAAAAAAGAAGAAATGAAAATTAGCGCTGAGGGGAGAAGTGAAATAAGAAATGATGGAGGAAAAACCTTTGACAGCTGAAGCTTTCACTCTCGGTCTTTAATGTCGCCTGTCCCTAAACAATTTGAACTTGTCAAGCGTAATCAGTTTTCCTTTCATTTGGTCTGACATTTACCGCCGCCAACGAAGCCGACGTTGACACATGGCCATGTCATCATGTCCAGCTTCCAGACACCATCACCAGTGTCCGGCTTCTTGGCCAGAAATGCAGACGCAGACGTGGCTGGCAATTATCAAAAAGCGCGCAACTTTTCACACGCAGCCGATCGCAGTCGCATTGCTGGGATGCTGCAGTCGGTGGCAGTTGCAATAATAGTCGCCGCCGATACACCGGTGTCACTAATTACGGCTCATTATAGTGACCAAAGTGTAACATGTTGTCAGCTTCGAGGATAACAAGCAAATATAAAGGGAGAGAGAGAGAAGAAGGAGGTTTAAGCAGAGATGGCAGGTTAGGATACTCTATCTTTGCAGGTAATAGGTGCCAATCAGATAGGAAAAACTTAACAAGTTAATGTAATCTGCAAATTATTAAGTGAAAATTCCAAAAATATCAATTTGTCTCAATATTTTATACGAACAATATTTTTAAACATTTTATAGTTTGGGCCTTTCTCAGGGGTGTCGACAATAAGTTCCCGTTTTCTATTTCTCTTATCATTTAAATTTTCCTTATTTACAATACACTCCGCCTAAGATAAAACATTGTATTTATTTGGCGCAAACAAGACAATTTATTTCGATTTAAACGAAGAAGACGCCTATCCTTACCTTGGGCCGAAGAATCTCTAAAAGTGATCATATGACAAAAAGCTAACTTAAATCCATGGCTAATTGAGTTCCCACATTAGAAACTCTTTTCTATTTATGGCCTTAACATATACTTCTTTAGTTTATCGTATAACATTCATTCTGGTGGCTGGAGCAAAAGTAATCTCTAAGTTATCATACCCACACTCCCTGTTTTTTTTTCAACTACGACTCGTGGCTCACACATGCCGGTGGATGGAGTTAGACTCGAAATTGAAGTTGGAGACGGAGACGAGGTTGAAGTCAAAGTTGGAGGAGATATCCAAACACCTGACAGTTGGCCATTGGCGCTAACGCTGGGCCTTCGTGTTATTTCTGTTAAGTGACCATTTTTGGGCAGCCAAGTTTCGTGTGAGTTTCGATCGAAAGTGCAGCTAACGCAATTTCCAACTATTTGGCTTGGGTCTCTAACAGAAATTCTACGGCGTAGCGTTTCGAGAGCCTAACAATTAAGTTCTCCAGGAAGACAGCCAACCTATTCAGAATTACGAAATTCACAGTCAACTCAGGCGAAATGTCATGTTTTATGGAGCTGGTCTTCGAAATTAGCTCCATTACACAGCTCGATCGATCCATCGATCTTGGCTGTGAAAACCATTTCAAGTGGTTTCAGCAGCCCAAAAACCCAAAAAAAATATTATATACCTTTGTATATATCAATTGAGCGATACTCTCACTTGAGAAGCAGCCCGGAGTCGTTTGCTACACGAGTTGCCCGAATCACTTATGAAAATCGCTTGAGAAACCCTTGAAAGCCGACGACGATCAGAGTCGTTCAAAGTTCGTGTCAACATCATCAATTTTGATCAATATGTATGGTCTAATGCTCTCCCTCTACCTCTATAAATATGTACAGTTGAGGGCAGAAAAATATTGTTAATGGTAAAGTCAAAAACTTTATTAACTTTCTGTGGGCAAAAACTATTTCGTGGTATTTCCAAACTTACTTACTTAAGAACTTAAATCAAAAATATTTATTCTTTTTTCGCCTAAAATCAACAACTATAATTTCACCCATAGCTGTCCTTGTACATACATCTCTCTCTATCTGCCATTTAAACGACTCCTTTGCCTTCGGGGCCCGATCGTGTTTGAGTTCATCGCATTCGTCTCCGATCGTAGACTCGACAAAAATATGGAAAATTACAATTATTAGGCATTTGGCTTGTTTGTTTATTGGTAGGTGTATTGAGGTTATACGCTAAATGATACATCGATCGTTTGAATAGAGCGATCGAGCAAAACGATCCGGCGCGATCAGCGCGATCGTTCAATTGATTGCCCGCCCGATCGGCCAGCGGACAAGTGAAAATCTCTGGACGGTATCTGGGGTCTGTTGGGTAGATGAATGAAAATTGCTGCCTAAATGGCAGCGGACATGATCGAGCCGATCATCACTCCTGGCATGATCACTTTCTTTTCGGGTCTAGATGGGGGAAAAATCCCCGACTGGTGGTGACATGTGTTCGTATGGGAGATGGCAGCGGATGACCCGACTCAACTCTTGACCCACCTGCATAAGCAATTATGATCTTGATGATCTCCGGTTGATCTTCATGATCTTCATCATGATCAATGTCCAAGATCATCTAGAGCGAGGGAACTGAGCACCGGGTGGGGGGACTTCGTCTAGTTAAGTGACGCCCTAGGGCCGCTCGCTGGCGACCCTGTTTAAGTTTATAAAAACTCATTATAATGTCTTATAAATGCACTTGTATCAAGTGGGATTTCTTGATTGCCGTCTCCGTCTGTAACACTCCCCCGCTCTCCTTACCCCTTTAAACTCCCTCAACATTGCTTTTGGCCTGATCTCTAGCTGCTCCTTTTCTTGGTCGCCCTGTCTTCGGCACTTGCAAAAATGACTTCATAAGTTTAATATTTATTATATAATCTGGCCTATCCATCATAAAAATCGTCAATAAACTCAATATCCTAACTCCTAGAGAAACTGAGAACAAATAATAAAGATGATTTGTTCTTAGGAAGAAGTTGAGAGTATTTTTTCCAGTGTGCTCGCTGGGTGTCTGTCTTTGAGACTGGGTCTTGCTCTCGACTCGAGTCGACTCCACTCGACTCAACTCTCGGTTCGGGTCCGGGCTCCCATGCTCTCATGCTTAGACACATAGTTCGCTCAAGATCCATAACATGACCTTTTGACTGGCAGTGATTTCAACGCCCACGCGTATAAAACAGACCCAACAGCACCACCACAGCACCACCAAGGCAGCAAAGTCAGAAAGCCAAAAAGAAGGCAGCAGGCAGAAGGCAACCACCAACCACACCGATCTGGCTCTGTGGTCTCTGTATGTTTATGGAAAATGGGTTATGAGATATTTCTCTGGCCTTTTTATCTTTTGGCCATTTCTATTTTGACCATGGGAAATAAATTCTGTGAGCCCGGGTAGGTTGGTCCCTCCGCTAATCGAATGGACAGACTGAAATCTTGAACAAAAAAATAAAACGGAAAAGACTGAAAAGAGCCAACCACGAAGGACGTTCGTTCTGCATTTTACACCTACGCCAAGCTAGCAGCCCGAAGGTTAAAGATTCCGCTGGATAACTTGTTGCTCTTACCCTCCGCATTTCCTTATATGTTTGCGGTAATTGAACTTACGCGTGTGGGGATAGTCCACCCTTGATGGAAAATCAATAGAACCCACCAAAACCAGCCCACCGAAAGGAGTCTTCCTTGTTTTCTCAGTTGTCCTTTTAATTTATACCAACAAACAGCAAATAGAGTGTGTATTTTTGGAACAGACATCGGGCACGCGATGATAGCTTCAGTTTCTGGCGCCCCACCGCCCACATAACAAGTTTACCCGACTGCATTAACCCACTGCCAAAAGCGAGTGCAAGGACTGCCCCCACTGAAAACAAAAAAGGAAGGTTAACGCTGGATTGACGAATTTTAAATACCCTACAGGCCAGGAAGTAAGGGGGTTTACTTACAAAAAGTATATACAAAATCATATTTATCCTTTTAGTTGAGGAAAATCAAAGAAGTTCCACTTTCTAAATTGATTGTTAATATTGTTAAAATATTGTTAAAAACTGAATTGCTTTTCCTTTTAGTCTCTTAAGTGGCACATGGACTCATATTACTAGTAATACCCCTTCATAAAAATACCCAAACTAGCTTTGTTTACTCCTTGAATGGGGCTCGTTGTTGCCAGGACAACCCGCTGGCATTCCAATGCAAAACAAATCGAATTTCGGCTGTCGGTGCTTTGAGTTCGAAGGAATTTCAGTGAGGTTCCTGCACAGCCTTGGTGTGGTGCTTCACCGAGTGCTAGGATTCCAGCCGACCTTTGGTATCTCTGTTTCTGGTCTGCAAAGTGGAAGTGCAATGAACTGACATGATTACGGGACCGGAGGCCAGGCAAACGCACAGGTTATTGGACTTGAAGAAGCAGCAATGGGCCAAGGAGAGAGGTCAGTCCAAGACATGGCTTTATTAATAAATATTAAATCAAATATTTTATATTCGAAACAGAGGAAATAGCTCGCATGGATGAGATGTACCATCATCAGCACACCTCCCACCACAAAATCGAACGCACCTCCATTCGCACCTACTACTCCAACTTGGATCTCAGCCAGACTTCGACCTCGAATCAAACTTCCAGTCATTCGCGACGAGCTAAAGGTCCGGATATGCAATTGATCCTGCGACAGCCGGAGTATAGGCAGGGCAACCAGGCCTATATGAATCAGCTTGAGCGGTATATCGATGATCTGGATGTGGATGCCGATGCGGATTATGAGGACGAAGATGAGTCCATGTATCGCAGAACCCGAAGAGGGAGCTATGCTCCTGGGATGACATCCCGTCAGTTGCAGAATCCTGCTCGGTATGCCGAACTAGTGCCCACATCTCTACAAACGGCCAAGGGAAGGATGCAGAACTCACGTCAGGAGGCGCAGCAACACTTGAAGCTGCAACACCAGCAACTTTTGCTGCAGCAACAGCAACACCAACAACATTTGCAACAGCAACAGCAACGCCTGCGGAGTCCCAGTTTGCCAGCCATAAGACAGAGGGTGAGACACCAGGAAAAGACGGGGAAACCAACTGACATTGATCCCGGCAACGGGCCACATCGATTAAACAATCCCCCGGGAGGTGCTGGCAACAACGCTGGCGGTGGGGGTGGCGGAGTCCAGGGACCTCCTGGTTGCCAGGAGGAGGATACTTCCGGCTATCTGAGCGATACACCCAAGAATCCCCACACCCCAGACATTTGGTTCAACGACGGTGCGAGTCAAATCGAGAGCATTAGTGGTATGGGAAGCGCCAGTGTCCTGGATGGCGGCAGTGTGGGTGCTGTGGGTGGGGGTGTGGCTGGCTGCCGTCGCCTTCGGCGATCGATACAGGCGGGTACTACAGCTGCACCAATTCCTGCACCGATTTCCATGCCCATACCGCATCAACCACCCCCGTTAAATCCGCTGGGCAAGGTATACACCATCAAGGGACGACGTGTGCCAGGGCAGGGATATGAGCCACTCGCTGCCGATGGATACATGGCCGATGGGTGAGTAACCAAGTGACCCAATCACACAAAAACAACAAATGTCTTAACTGCAATTAAACATGGAATAATTAAACTGGGTAACCAATATAAATAACTTAATGGCTTTTCATAAAGGAGTTATTATTGGTTAAAGTTTATTGCTCCAGTTTTATTATCAAAGTTAAGTTTAAGTTTAATTTAAGTTTAATCTACTTAAAGATATGTTTTATTCAATTTCCTTATAGCTGCTGCTATGTGCCTGCACCTCCCAGCTCCTCCAACATGAGCATGAGCCGCGATGTCTCCACTTCTAACACTTACCAGGTTCACATTGGCAATCCGGAGCAGAACGATTTCTATGTCCATGAGCAGCATGAAAGGGAACGGGCTCGCTGGGCCAACTTCAATGGAGGAGCTGGCCATCAGGCACCCCAGCAGCCACCTGGATGGCTCAGTCGCGGAATGCATGATCTCAAGGACAGCGAGGACGATGTCCAGTCTATGCAGTCATCCTCCACATATCTACGAGGTCAGAATGCCCCACTAGATGCTCATACTCTAGCCGAAAGAATGGACAAAAGACGTAAGGCAGCCGAGTATCACAATGCCATTAAGAAGCAACTTCACGAGCGGGAACTGATCCGGAAATGGGAACTAGAACGCCATCGGCAGGAGGAGCAGATCGAGGAAGAGCGCATCCGCAGACAGAAGCAATTGGAGCAGGAACGTCTGGATTTCGAGAGGAGAACTCTTCTGGAACGAGAAGAGGCCCAGCAAAAGAAGCAGCAAGTTATGCTGGATGCCATACAGAAAGCAGAAGTCGCAGCCAAATTGGAGAAACAAAAGAAGCGAATAGTTCGCCAGCCATCCAAAGTGTCCCAGGAAACCGAGGAGGAGGAGTCCGAGCTGCTAAGAGTGCAATCCGTGGAGGAGGACGAAGAAGAGGAGGTGGTGGGAACTGCTGCAGGAGAAACATCCCCTCAAGAAGAAGAGCCATCTAATACACCACGAGCTGCCCCTCCAGTCGTCACAGAGGAAAAGGTACTGATAGGCACACCCATCAACCTTCGACGTACCATCACGAAGCCCATTAGACAACCCAAGGATACTCAGAAAGAGGAAACCAAAGGACCAACTCAGACCAAAAAACAACCTTCTTTCCTGGGCGAAGACAAGGAGAACATGGCGCTGCTGATGCAACCAGCTACTCTCATACCATTGCCGGTTACCAGTGATATTTTCGGCCTGCAAAATGCCATTGGTAACCTACAGATAGCCACTTACTTTATGCAACAACCCATACAGAAGCTACCACAGACATCTGGCTCATACTCAAAGGCCACGATGACCCATCGTACAGATACCTCTATATACACAGAGGATGGCTATCAGGCGGAAAAGGAGGAAGATCCCCTAGAGACTGCAAGATCTGGTAGGACGGATTTGGTCACCGCCAGTGGCTGCTTTTCTCCTGACTCTTTAGAGGTGGATGTGGCTCCAGCTTCAGTGCCCGAACAAGACAAACTCGCACTGATACCCCTTAAGACGCCTTTACAGCTGGGGAACAGCTTAAACAGTTCAGATGACAGAGATGCCCACAACCACGAACTGGGTCACCAGGCGGATGTGGAAACCCAGACAGAGTTGCCCTTGAATTGCGATCTCTGCCTGTTCCACGATAACTTCTATAAGGTTTTGCTCAAGCGGGAGGTTTCCACCACCACCACAACTCAGACATCCAAGTCTCAGACCCAACCCGCTAAGGAATCTACTGCTGAAAAAGATCATGAGACCACGACTACTACGACTACCACCACCACAACCACATTTAAGGCTAAGAGTAAGGATAAGGAAAAGGACAAGAATCTGAAGAAGAACCAAAACAAAGACAAAGACGCCAACAAGATGGACGATAGACCAAAGTGGGGTGTCAATCGCCCGGTGGTTCAATATGTCAAGGCCAGCGATCGGGATCCCTTTTGCCTGAGGAAGAAGAAAAACCATCCTAGTACGGCCAAACCACCAAGATCTTTGTCCATGGACTCCCGTTTGGATAGTGTGGCGGCTTTGCCCGAAGATCGTTTAATAAACCTCGCCGGAGGACCTTCATCTGCTGCAGGGGAAAAGGAAGAGGAGGGCTTCCTCCTCAAAGCCCGGAATGTATGCACCGAAATCCTACCCATAAAAACCGATGACAAGGGTCGCATTTTCCTGAACTTTCGCGAGGCCAGTGCCATTATGAACGAGGACGAGATCAAGGATAAGCTGAGGCAGAAGTATTTCAATTTCGGCAGGATTCTTCCCCGCAGAAACTGGGCCTCGGCCACCCAGCATGCTCTGCCCTTCAGTGCGGTGACCACAGCTCCTCCCCAAGCCACGGTGGGAGTGGGCGATTTGGCGGATGATTGAAGTCAACTTCAAATTATTTAATGACCAGAAAACTTTTACAATGCATTAATATTAATTCGTAACTAGAACGACTGTAAACCCTTTATGTAAAACCTTTAAATATATACATTTGTATTGCAAGCACCAAAACCTGTAAAATGGAAATTTTTAATGCTGTTTCTAATTGCCAAACTAAGCCCCTGAGCTGCCTCTTAACCGCAGTTAAGAGTAACAAATTATACTTTGAAGAAGACACATAAAAAAGAAGCAAAGTTCTAAAATACTTTTAAAGGTGTAATGGCTTGCTTAACATACTCCTAGCTTAGCTACTTGTTCTAGTGAAATTCCCAGTCCGTGAGAAAGGACGACTGAGATTTTTCGGGTGCCTAGATGCGGCGGATTCCTCGTCAGGCTTTCGACCAGGTCTATTAGCAACATTGTTGCCAGGGCTTAACGCTCTGAAAGCCACAAATCACGCAAATGTTGCCACATTGTTCACGGCGAGCTGCTGGGCGAGCTTTGTCTTGCTGATTTCTGGCCAAAACTGCGGGTCTATATTGGTTGGTATCTGTGGATATTCGGGGTCGGAGTCTGTTACACTTTCACAGAACTCAAAATGTCGTATTTCACGCATTTTTACGAGCGTTCGCGTAAATTTATGCGAAAAATCATAAATAACCTGGGCATAAGCTGCCTTCCACGTTCATCGAATCCTCGGCAAACAAATTTTTATTTGCCTCAAGAGGCGTTCCTTTCGGTTTCTGCCAGTGTTTCTGTTTCTGTTTTTTTTAGCAAGTGGGCGCTGCATATTTCTGTTAATTAACGCATTTTGTGCGTTGTGTAACTATGAGAGATCTTTCGGCAGTTATTCTGTTTGTTGCGATCCGAACTCCACACGTAACAACAATGCAGCCATTGAGGTTTATTTGCAAGTTCTCTAGCTCCCAAAATCAAAGAAACGAAGCCAAGGCGAGGTCGGTCGGCTTTATGCCTCCCCCTTTTTCGCCACCCCAGCAAGTACAACAACAAGTTCAATGCCTCGGAATTAAAATTGACCTTAAGTTCTTGGCTATTTTGCAGACTTGGTAAGGGGAGTTATGTGAAGTTGTTGAGTACTTTGAAAAAGTTAACTTCGATATTGAAAATATGTTCCTCTTTAACTTAAGATTTCACCTTTCGAATTACTGAATTTTCTTCAATTTAAAGGTTGAATTTTATATACAATCTCTAAATTGAAACTTCCTTTAAGTAAGGGTATCCCATTTTCGTTTTAACCGAAAGACAGAACTATTTTTTGTCGCTGGCTAAGGGCAAACAAAGCCAGCCAGCATAATGGCAATAAAAAGTTCTCATTCGTGTTCTAGTTTCGCAGCAACAAGACGGCAAATTGCATGTGGATGCCTTTGAATTCGAGTTTTTGGCATGGCTTTGGTTGGCTAGGTGGCCATTTAACAGAGGGAAAACCATGGGGTGGTATGGCCGGAAAAATTGCATTACCAATGTCACGTGAGGTAAAAACCAAAAAATAGAAAACTGAAAAAAAGCAGACCCAGAGGCGGCAATTGTTTGTGCCGTCACCTTGAACGTATGCCAAAATCAAAGAGCGACCCCGTGATTAATGACACTTGATTAGGAATTCAAACCGAAAGATCTGCATTTCTTGTCAGCCGAACGTTATTTATTTACTTAGCTAACCCGTTAATGGCGGGACCCTCTTGAACTACAAAACTCTGACATAATTAATGACACTCGATGTGAAGCTAATTTCGAGTAATTCAAATCGATCAAGGGGATCTTACGACTGTCTGGCTTACTCTTTTGCATGATTAATGATTCGAACTAAACAAAAATACAGATCAACTTTTGCAACTGTTTTCTAATTGTTATTTTGCCAACAGTTAGTTTTGCTGTGACAGTTGCTCAAGATTTTCTTTTCAAAGAGTTTCCATTTGTCATTTATTTGAGGCCCTTCTGCGGTCACTTGAGGATCATTTGCAAGGCAGCTGCTGTTGCTGTTGCTGCCGTTCGCCTTTTAGATTTTTCATTCTTTTGTTTTAATATGCAGACTGCAGCCTGAATCCAGTAACGATAACCGAACACAGTTTGACGGACTGAGCCCACCTGAGGTTGTTCTCGAGCGGAAATCACATCGACAAACACCACATAAACTATAAAAATTGTTTATTTTCGATTCAAGGCATTGCACTGTATCAATGTCCATAAATTTGATTATTTCTCTCTGCCCAATCGCTGTACTGGTTTATGGATAATTTATGAATGTCTCTCGCCTGGAATGTGAGTGGAATATGTTAGGAAATTTTCAATTTTCATTGCCTTTTCAGGCTTTTCTTGTACTTGAATTTTGTTCACATTTAAATACAGAATTTGTAGCCATACTCTATTTCCTATACTCCGACTTACCTAAACTTTAATGAAGTAAGACAATTTGTTAGCCATATGAAGAGAAAGAAATAATTCCATTGCATCTGCGCTGTGCGTTCCCCAAGGACAGCTGGAATATCTGTGTACTTTTTTGTCATGGCCACACTTGATTAATTCCATAAAAGGATTACGAGAGTCGGCCGGTTATTAGATAACTTCCGCATAAGGATATCGCCGCTGATGAAGTCATCAGCGTGTCCAAAATGCTGAGCAGGAAATTGACATTTATCACACTTTTACCTTTTACCTCCTCGCTCGAACGCACTATTTACTTTTCTTTTTTTTATTTGCGCACACGTCCTGGCTTCCTTCCTTTCTTACTTTTTATTATACTCCGCTATATATATATATATATATCGGGTGCCAGACAATATCCTGTTCCCATTTCAATTGCCATTGTCTGAGAGATTTTTGGTCTTTGTCCCGGGGATTCGTTTCGGGGCCATCATTATCATAATTAATGTGACTTAATCAAGAATAATGTTCGCCAAAGGAACAATCTAATCAAGTTATCCCAGGCAACCCCTTTGAGAAAATAATGCGGTCAACCGCAGGAGTTGAGAGAAGAAAGGAAAGGGTTGAAGGTCAGTTGGGAATCGAAAACTCAAAGACAGAGTCTCCTACTTTGCATACGGGCAATAAAACTGAAGTTTTCTCTGTTAAAGATTTATGTAGCATGCAAAAAGGCATTAAAAGGAAAAGATATCATTTATATAAATACATTTTTCCAGCCCGGCTTGAAGTTGAGAGGACTATAATGTTTTCGGGTGCCCATATGTCAGTTGATATCTCAACCAGATTTCCTCATTATGCGTGCATTGTTGTGGTCGTTTTCCTCTCTCTCTCTCTCTGTCTATCTCAGCTCCCTGGGCGACATTCGCACGAATCGTGTCCTGATCCTTATCGGTAGCCATGGTCCTGCTACCAGGAACTAGGCCTCAATGTAATGTCCCCGAGAACTGCATGACTACTGCTGCTGCTGCTGCTGCTTCCTATCGTCGCACATGTTGACACATTAATGTCCTCGATCCGTGCGTGAGGCCACTGGCAGATCCTAATCGGCGTTACTAACTGGAATCGTGTTGAATCTCACAATAGATTGCATTAATTTTTGGGGGTTTTGTTTCATACAATTAGTACGGTTTTCCTTTCTTTCTTTCTCGGGGGTTGAGATTGATTTCGAATACGCAATATGCGGGACTTCCTGATCGATGGCGATCCAGATAAGTTACTGTTAGGTGTGAAAAAATAACATACACGATTGCGTTTTTATATGGATTTACACTTAAAACAAAGATTCAAACTTTAATATTTTAAACAAATAATAATGATTCTAATAAGTTTATAATGTTTAAGGATGGACGTGAAAGTATTTTAGGAAATAATTCCCAATTTAAGCTGGAAAAGACTTAGAAAAGTCATTCAATCTTCATTTTAATAATTCTATAAAATTTCTTCAGATAAAACTTCAAAAACTTGTCTTAGTGTAAATTCCCGCCGATCACCGCTGAATCCGTGATTGAATTGTACTTTTTCCTGGCCATACCCGAGTTGTATTTCAAACGGGCGTGGTACAGCTGCTCCCAAAAAGGCATAAACAAATCATAACAATTGCTGGTGGTGGTAGGACATGTAGGATCCATGATCCATGCCCAGGGAGACTCTCACACACGGCAGCAATTTATCATCCACTAAACAAGCCAAGAGATGAAGGCTCAAAGGAGCGGGGCAAACGAAGGAGAAAAGGACTTGCCATTGTTAGGCCAACAGCCTTTGTCTTTCCCTCGAAACGAAGACGAACATTAAATTGGAGGTGTGTGCGCCATATAAACATTAAATTTTATTTAGATGAGAGTCGGTCGGGAGAGGTTCTTGTTTTTTTTATGGGTGTCCTGATTTCCAACTGTGTGTCTGATTATTGATTATTCTCCTTCGCCAGTGCACCTCAATAAAAAATGAATTAGGGCATCGGGAGTTTTGTTACTTTTTTGGTTTTTTCGTTTTGATTTATTATCATATCGTAAATTTCTAGACTCTAAAAAATCTCTGTTTCTCTGTCAAATCTTTAGATTCTCTTCCTTGAATAGCTTCGAAGTTATATTTTTCCCAGCGATGGCGGCGCCTTCGTGTTCTCCATTCACTTTTGAGGGTTTTCTTTTTTGTGTTGACTTTCCTTGACAACGTTTACTTCCTCACTTAGCACCTGGAATCGGGACACACATCTCCATCGCCACTAGTTTAGTCCAAATAAAATATTATTTGTTTAGTATTTTTGGTTTCTTCGTTTCGCTTTGTTTTTTCGTTTTGTTTCGCTTTGTTTTCTGTGTCGAAAAACCAAATTTTAATAATGTTAATTTGTTGCCTTTCATGGGACCTGAGATTTACGACCTCTTCTCCAGTATTTTCATCGCTCGTATTTGGCTTTGTTATTTTCCTCGCAGTCCTCGCCGTAATTATGCTAGTAAGTTGCAGTGTGGAAGGTGTGGTTCAGTTTCTGTGGCTGGCTGGGTTCTCATTTCTCTGGACTCGAATTGCGTCGAAGCAAAGAGGTGCTGATTGCTTGATTTGGGTGGCTAAATGTGAAATGATATAATTGAGAGAGATGGAAGTTGATTGTCAAGCAGAAGGATAAGAAAGTTAAACTAAATCCTCTCAAACTACTCCTCTTCTACCCTTTACTAACCCCCTATTCCTCCATCACAACTTTACCAAATGAGATTAAACAACTTACTTTGGTTCCAGTTAGTCTAAATGCTGCTCGATAATAGCTTCAGCCTCCTCTGACGCATTAGCCATAGTCAATTATTAGTTCACACAAGCATAAACCTAAGGCTGGAGGAAGATCAACAACAAATTTTTATCACATTTCCGCATAAATCCATAACACCCGTAAAAATATGATGAGTTTGACAAACAACAGAGACGAGAAAAGATGCGTAAATGAGGGGGGCAATCGCAGGGGATATATACGAGTATGGGGGGAGGAGAAAACTCTGAAGAGAGTTCGAAATCAATTTGCATATTTTGGATGATGACAAACGCTGTGGTGGGTCCGAATTTCTGAGAGACTTCCGATGCGGCGTGAACCGAAAAGCGTGTTAATTTTCACTGTGCATTTTATATGACTGGGCCATATAGGAAAGGAGCGACTGGAGATCGAACGTCTTATGTTAATAGGCGGATCGCAGCCATTCAACGCCCCGAAAGTTTCACCGCTTGAAATGTGCTGTAAAGTTGTTAATTAAAACCAAGAAAACCAAGAAAATCCACCCAGACCCCAGCTGAGGACCACACAGCAGCAGCAGCCTCGCCAGTCTCATCTCTGAGTTTTGGGGATTTCGTTTACGGATTCCCACCAAGACCTGTTTTCATGTCTCGTCCGCTCTTTTTACTTGAATATTTTCTCTGTTGTTGCTGTTATTGCTGTTTGGCATGTGCGTTTGTTTTTTGTTATCGCTTTCAAATGCACTTGCTGCTCGTTTCCAGATATTTCAAAATTTGAATAATTTTGCAAACGGATTCGTACTCGTTTTTTGATTGATATTGCCAGTCAACCTGCACGGCACGGCACTCCTGCGGGCCAGCGAAGGTAACACTCGAACTCAAACTCGAATCAGTCAGGAAAAAATTAAGGAAGTTCAGTTTTAGATAACGAAGTTGCAAATACCCTTTAGTTGTTAATGAAATATGTATTTGGGGATATAAATTTAAGAAGTTTGATAAGTTATTAAGAAAGTATTTTCACAGAGACTCCTTATTTGGGTTGATAAAACTAGCTAAGCTGACGTAGACCTGACTAAATTCTAGAAAAAACAATAAAACCCCCTATATATAGGGTATAATTAAAGCTGGTTTTGCATCATTTTGGTTTTGGGGTTATCAATCACACATAGAAAATTTCGTTGTTCGTTTGCCGTTTCAGTGCTGTTAGATGAAGCGCGAGTTTGACTGACTACGCCTGGCCAAATGTTAGTCATTAATTACGGCCAGAGATCTAGCAAATGATCGGAGCGATGATGAACCGGCGACTCATCATCGTCATTATTGACAGACCCTCCCCAACATCCCCGCCAAACATGTTCTTTAAACTTTGGCCTTGAATCTTGGCTCGACTTGTCTTGTCTTTGCCATAGGATAGGTTTTTTTTATTTTTTTTGGTTTGCACATTTTCAGATGCACCACCCCAAAAACCCCCTGCCAACGGATTATTCACATAATTGTTGCCGTTGTTCTATTCTTGTTTTTCTTTGGTTTTCGTTTTTTATTTTTCTCGTTTCAACGTTGTTTATATTTAATTGCTAAAAACTATAATTCTGTCAAGTTTATTATGAAAATAATTATAATGCACGTTCTTAGCCATTGTGAGATGGCAGGGTTTATCTGAGTGCGCATATCTCTGGCTCTGGGCTCTAAGCCAACTGAACAATGGTCGTGGCCTGGCAGATTTTGCGTTATAATTACCTCGGCAAGAACAAAACAAAGTCACTAACTAAGAACGCACACAAAAACACACACTCAGTGTTCTTAGTACAAGAATTTGTCCATTGGGTCATTGGGTTAGTGTTAAGTCATTTTCATTGAAATTAACGGCCAGCGTGAAAAAATAAGGAGATAGTTGGGTTTTTCTTCAAGTTGACACAGTTTGCTGTCTATGAAAAACAAGAATGAGTTATGGCAATCAACTGAATTATCTCAAATGTGATTGGGAAAAAAGTTGAATAATAAATATAATAAAATATAAAGAAATGAAGAAACTTTACTTCTCTTTAATATAACCCACACTTTCCCATAAATATCTTTGTAACCACTTCCCAAGCAAGATCCACTCCTTTTCTTGTTTCCCAAAGGCCAACCCAGGTTGCTCTATAAATCTAACTTCGTTGCCACCCAAAAATTATTTAAGCAAATAAAATTTGACATAAATTGCCTTTTTGCCTGCTCTGCCCTCCTACTTGACACATTTTCCGCTCGTTTTTGGCATCTCAAACATTTGTGCAAATTGCCCAAGAAATTGTGGCAACATAACTGCTTTGAATAGTTTCCCAATCCTAAAGGTCCTCCCTTCGATATATTTATGGCTGGACAGGACCACACCCCTATCGTTGTCCTTGTTACCGTCGTCCTTGGTTCATTGTTTCGCGAAAAGGCATTTGTCAAAAGTCAAAATATTTATTGAGATCAACTGGTTTTTTCTGGCTGTGGTCAAGAGCGCAATATCTTTCTGTAACCTTAACCGTATCAGGACCCTACCCGTAACCCAAAACACAGCCACGACGACGTGTGCCAAAAAAACAACAACAACAACAAATGATGGTAGAGGGCAGCAAAAATGCAAAATAAGAGAAAAAATAAGGAAAATAAAACGTTTCTGATAAATGGTATGAGCGTTAAATTTTGTCGCTTTTGGCTGATCTAGATAAATGCATTTGAATTTGCATGTTTTATTAAGAAATTTATTAACACACACACACCCCCAAAGATACGGATTCGAATGCAAATGCACTGAGAGAAATAATCTAAAACATTTATAAATATTTCTTATGATAAAAACAAAGATCAAGTTAAGGGTGAAGTTACAGAAGAAGAACGAATTGTTCTTTTTCAGAATGTTTATTAAAAGAATTTTCTTTTAGCATTTCTCTCAGTGTATAACCTGGAGCTGGAACGATCTTGCCAGCTTTGTCTGCGTTTGCTCGCGCCGGACTTCGTTATAAATTATGCACTTAAGTTGAGGGTGTATTCATTATATGGATAAAGTTCGACTTGGACTTGAACTTCGTTTTGGGGAATTTCTGCTCCTCCGCTTTATTTCTCGCTTCGGCTGTCTGTTCTTCATTTTTCAACGCCTGGGATGGTCCCTGGGCCAGAGTTTGGTTTTTTGCTTTTAAGGTTTTCCAGTCTCGATCTCAGTCGGCCAGTCGTCGCCATCGAAGCCACCTCCTGCTGGGCCAAGTGACACTGACACTTGAGTAGATGTTTTGCGGTTGATAAAATCAAGAGCAAACAAGGTCTCTCCCTCGGTTTCTGGATATTTTCGATTGCAGCCTGCAGCCTGTGTTGGAAATCTCTTGGCCAGCTCCACGATCACGTCCACCAACTCAGCAAGATCCTTTCGCCGCCGATTTTTATTTCATTTTATTTTTTTGTATTTTTTTGTATTTATTCATTTTTTTACTAATGGTGTGACAAATTTTAAACAAGTAATTTCTGCATGTTGTTTATGGGCCTCGCAACGCTCTCAACGGGGGGATGAGTTCGACGAGAGTCGGGTTCGAGTTCATAATAAAATTTATGAGCAATGCCCTGTTTTGGAATTGAGCAAATCAAGAGAAGAAGGGGCCTGAAAAGGAGTCACATGTGGAATTTCATTGGAAATGTTGAGAGCCTGCATGGGGCAAGATTCCAAAAGTTGCTCTCCTTTTTTCGAATGGAATTCGATTGCTATCTTTTATAGGGTTCAGTTCATATTTTGTATAGAAGAAGGTTAATTATTTCTTAAAAAATGAAACTTCAAAATTTCAAACCTGTTCGCCCGCAAACTTTTCCCTCATTCCAATTATTAGAAAAGCTTTTCAAAATAAATTAACCCTAAAATCACAATCTATATATATGATTATTGAGGTCTGTTTAAAAATCGATAACAAGTCATCAACTTTATGACAATCTGCTATCCGATCGACACCAAACCGATGCCTATCTGGCCGACTATATAGCGCTTCATTATAGTAAATCATAATTCTGCCATCTAGGGATGCCACGCCGCATGTGGCAACCGCGATGATGGGACCATCATATCTGATGCCCCAGACACACTCTAAACTATCGGAAGATATTGACCGGACGGCGCTGGGCTGACAATGAGTGTGGGCCAGTTAAAGAGCACCTATACCAAGCCAAGCCAGCTGGGCTAAGCGCCATCAACCGCTCTCCTCGGACATAAATGCTGCACTTTACTATATGTATTATAGGCATTATGGATGACGATGGAAATTTGAGTCCCAGCCCCCGGGCAGAGACACAAATTTTCCAACTATGATCGTTGATCGTCTGAGTGTCAGTTTGGGAATAGTTAGAGATGGTTCTTCGGAGCAAGAAAGGGAGTAAGTTCTTTGGTATTGAGGGGTTTAGGAGAAGTATTTAAGCTAGAAAACTACTCTCTCTCTAAGTCCCCTAAAAATCCCTTAAAATCTATTACCTAATAACTTAATGTAAAATTTCTATAAAAATACTAAGAGCTTACCATTGTGATAGCCACATTCGTGAGTCCCATTTAACCCACTCACGTGATGTGACCATCTCCAGAAGGTAACCGAGAAGCGATGCCAATCAGTTTAGCTGCCTGATTCAGCTAGATCTTCCAAGTTGCAACCTCCAGCCTCGTTACCTTACCTCCAAAGTTGTCTCATTTTCATTTTTTCGTTTCAGACTCTGTCCATCTGTCCGTGGGTCCCAGTTTTGTGTCGCGACATTGACGACTTTGTTGATAATTTTGATTTTATTATGTTAATAAAATGTTATGGTTTAAAATGTTCAACATTTCAGTCAGTCGAAGTTGGAGTCCCAAGTCAGCGACCAACCAACCAGCTGGTGCAGCTGGTTCAATGGATCCATTCGTTGGTATGACATGGTGTATGGATATATATGTGTATATCGTATGGTATGGTGCCTTGTCCGCTTCTGTCGTCTGTGCATCATAACTCATTAGTGACAATATTGGATGCTCGCCGTGTGGGTTTACCTGATTTCGATAATTGTCTCTGTTAATTGGATTAAATAACCCCCAACAAACCAAATATTTTTCGCAGGCAGAAAATCTCTGTTTCGAAATATGCACATCGATTTGAATCGGTTGCCGTTCTCGTTCTCATTCTCAGTCTCATTCCCAGCTCATTATCTTTCGGTTTGTTGCTGTCCAGAGGCTCTTTTATGGCCCCTCCATCTCTCGGTCGTGGCGCTGTGTTCGCTGTCATGTTAATAACATTCGTAATATGCTTTTTAATTAGTCTACTATCCCGAGTCTCCGGCAACTTGTGGGGGGTCCCCCCTAAAAAAAGGGTTTTGTTTTTTGATTTGGGGACTCATCTGCTATCCGGACTGATTAATGCTGCATTTTTTTGATTATGGATCGCTTAAGGGGCCACAAATCGCTGTTTGCTTATGTTAAGTAGCTCAGACGGTCAAAGTGTTTGGAAGTGGAGTGGAAACGGGATGGGGTACACCTGTTGGGAAACATTCACAAGTGGATCTCCATGCACTCTAAACGAGCTGAACATTTTGTGACATAAATGGATCACCGATGAGATCATCTCCCTAATGAGGTAAAAGTTTCGGGAACAAGCTTAACCACACTGAAAAATAAAATATGCCTTAAGAATATCTTCCGCCTTCAGAAAATGATTATAATATAAAGCCAGCCGTTTTTCTTGATTCTTAAAACTGATAAGAAATGTTTCTACTTTTGGTCGTAGTGCGTTATCTTCATTTTTCGCACATTCTGTCATTATTTTGCTAATTACAAAGCCAAAAATGGTCCTAACGTGGAATGTCATACCTCGTTGAATTCGTATTTAAATTCCCCGTCGAACTGTGTACCACACTCAAAAAGTGATTTTTTTGAGAATTTTCGTAAATTTTTATGATGTTACCCCTTTCCAAAAATACGAAAATCGGTCTGACCCGCTTTGTGGCCTATAATATCAGTATTTTCTTCATTACGAAGCCAAAAATGATCGTAACATGGAATGTGGTACCTCGTTGAATTCGTATTTAAATTCCCCGTCGAACTGTGTACCACACTCAAAAAGTGATTTTTTTGAGAATTTTCATAAATTTT